ATGGCTGGCTGAAGAATTCTGGGAGTTGAAGTCCACAAGCCTTAAAGTTACCAAGTGGCATGGCTGGCTGAAGAATTCTGGGAGTTGAAGTCCACAAGCCTTAAAGGTACCCAGTGGCATGGCAACTGATAAGTTAGTAACCCAGTTATTAAGTGAATCTGGCTTCCCCATTGACTTTGCTTGTCAGAAGGTCCCAAAAGTTGATCATGTGACTCTGGGACACTGCAAATAAATATGATCTGGTTGCCAAGCATCTGGATTTTGCCCATGTGATCATAAGGATGCTGCAATGGTCGTAAGTATAAAAAACAGTCATTACTCAGTTTTTTCGGTGCCATTATAACTTTTAACAGTCACTCAACGTATGGCTGTAAGCCTCAATTACCTGTATTTGCAAGGACCCAGAAGCAAGAAGCAAAATTCTGAATGAAGAGGAAACCTTGGTTTGATCCAGCGGGATAATTGTTACATTCTTGTGTCCTTCTGTTCACAGTTACGACGGAGTGCCTTTTCTTATGCATGACCAGACGTTACGAAGAACGACCAATGTCGAGGAAGTATTTCCAGAACTTGCTTACGATCATTCCTCTATGTTCAACTGGACTGATTTGGAAAGATTGAATGCAGGCAAATGGTTCCTCAAGGTGTGTAAGTAAGTAGTAATATTATGTCCAGTTGGTGGTTAAAGGTAAAAGGTAAAGGTTCCCCTCACACATCTGTGCTAGTCGTTCCTGGCTCTAGGGGGCTGTGCTCATCTCCGTTACAAAGCCGAAGACGTCTCCATGGTCATGTGGCCGGCATGACTAAATGCTGAAGGTGCACAGAACACAGTCACCTTCCCATCAAAGGTGGTGCCTATTTTTCTACTTGCATTTTTTTACGTGCTTTCGAACTGCTAGGTTGGCAGAAGCTGGGACAAGGAACGGGAGCTCACTCTGTGACGCGGTGCTAGGGATTTGAACCGCCGACCTTTCTGATTGACAATCTCAGCGTCTTAGCCGCTGAGCCACCGCGTCCCCTTTCAGGAGTTGCTGGTTACCACTCCTGACAAGAGATGTAGTGAAGCTAGAGAAAGTGTTGAGGATCACAACTGAGACAGTTGCCCCTGTGGCAAACAGCCCAAACAAAACAAAATGGCCAACAGTGTGTGGCAGCAGCCAAAAAAAAAGCTAATGCAATACAGGTCGTGCTCAACGACCACAACGGAGCTCAAAATTGATGTTGCTAAGTGAGAAATTTTGGGAAGTAAGCTAAGTAAGTTTTGCCACATTTTTAGACTTTTTAGACGCTGCAATGGTCGTAAGTGTGAAAAACGGTCGTAACTTCACTTTTTTTCAGTGCCGCTGTAAGTTTGAACAGTCACTAAGTGAACTGTTGTAAACCGAGGACTTGCCTATACTAGGTTGCATTAACAGAGGGATAGAATCAAGATCATGTGAAGTAGTAATACCTGTTAGGGATATACACCCTAGCAGAACCTGCACGGCAGGCAGGCAGGCAAATATGTGAGTATTTTTGTAGCTTACACTCAGTAAAACATACACAGTGCTAGTTAAATAGTTTATTCCAGTAAGATTATTAGCATAGTCAAACAGTCCATATATCATACACTAGTTCAGTCCGTCCGGGGATTAATCAGTTGCAAAGTCCAGTGTCAAAAAAGAGGTCGGTAAACTTACAATATCAGTCCAGTAATATATCTCTTCTCAGTAGAGATATGAAGAAGTAAAACCTCTTTTCTTCCTTCAGCAACAACAAAGAACACGCAGTTAACAATCCATCATTGTCAGCAAGCAATTCAGTAAACCAGCAATCAATCAAGTTCTCTTGCTCCCTCTTATGGCGATTTACAGCCGCACCCAAAATTACATGCTTTGGAGTTTAAAGTGACACACACATAAATTCACAATCATAGTCTATATATATTATTTTACCCAAACCACGTTAGGTAACCTATGTTATTCCTAACAATACCACTTTATAAAGCCTTACCCTCACTTGGAATACTGCATCCAGTTTTGGTCAACCCAATACAAAAAAAGATGTTGAGATTTTGGAAAGTGTGCAGAGAAGTGCTACAAAGAAGATTAGGGGGCTGGAGGCTAAAACATACAAAGAATGATTGTGGGATTGGGTATGTGTAGTCTAGCGCAGGGGTTGCCAACCTTTTGGACCTCAGGGACCACCAAACTCATAATTTTAAATCCCGCAGACCAGGGGTGGGATTCTACAGGTTCGCACCTATTCGCTAGAACCGGTTGTTAACATTCTAAGCAGTTGGGAGAACCGGTTGTTAGAAGAAATTACTGGGCTAATCCTGTAAGGAAGGCAGGAAGGCAACATTCTGGTGTTGCTTACAGAAACTGCCTCTCCGTTAACTCTTATTACATTCTTGGCAGGACTAGACTTCCTGTCTCAGGAACGTCTCTGGAGTTTTTTTCCCCCTCCTTTGCTGGCACTTTGCTTGTGTGGAGTGACCATTCAAAGTTACAGTGGCACTGAAAAAAGTGACTTATGACCGTTTTTCACACTTACGTCTGTTGCAGCATCCCCACAGTCATGAAAGGCCAGACAAGGAGATGCGTGCCTCGATGTGAGTAATATTGAGTCGGCCACACCCACCAACTAAGCCACACCCACAGAACCGGTTGTTAAAAAATTTGAATCCCACCCCTGCCAGAGACCCTGGGAAAATCCCCCAAAAAGTCTGCAGGAAAATTCCCCACCCCCATTTTCCTACCGATCGATCGTTCTTTATTTGGGATTGCAGGATACCGTCTCCCGCTCCATTCTCGGGGAGAGAGAGACTTTTGGCTTCATGCAAGGAAAGCAGCAGAAGCAGCAGAAATCTTTCTTTCTCTCCCCCAAACTCTGCCAGAAATGAGTCCTTGTGAGACTTGTCGCACCAGCACAGCCTCTTGGAGCAGGAGGCCTTGCAGGGTCCCAGAGACTTTCTTCTTCTATCGGGGGGGGGGGGGGGCTTCCTTCACTTGCCTGCTTAACCTAAAGTGAAACTGATGTCTGTTTCTGAGCTCCTGAGTTTCTGCTCTGCTCTGAACCTGTAACATGTCTGCTTCTGTTTGAGTTTGCTCCATGTTGGAGAAATCTACAACTGGTCTTGTAAAATTGACTTTATGTGTTTATAAAGAAGTTAGATGAAGCCTCACCCCATCTGTGCTTACTTTTTCTGGCGCTGAATGTATGCTGCAGTACTCTGAACACAGTTGCCTCTTGGAAAAAGCACCTGTGGGTCAACCGCGGCCTGGATGACCTTCAAAGCACATCATTTGCAATTCTCCCCACAGAATGACCCCTTCTGGACAGTCAGCTCCCTTTCCCCATCTGACTTCGTAAAAGCTGCCAACCAGTCGGTCTGCAAACTGACCGAGATGCTGGAGACCATCAAGGACAACACCACCGTCCTCTTGAACCTTCAGGACTTGCCCGAAGATCACCCGTATTACGCCACTTCTGTCAACGTCACCCTGGACACCGTCCTCACCTCGGGCATCCCTCAGCAGGCTGTGAGTTGTGCGGGAATTTTTGTGGGTAGCATTTAGCAATAGCAATAGCACTTTAGAGTTACATACCGCTCCACAGTGGTTTCCAGACCCCTCTAAGCGGTTTGCAGAGTCAGCATATTTGCCCCCAATAGCAACCTGGGTCCTCGATTTAGCGACCTTGGAAGGATGGAATACTGAGTCAACCTTGAGCTGGTCAGGATCGAACTATTGACATTGGGCAGAGTTAGTCTGCAATATTCCTTCTAACCATTGCGCCACCAGGGTCCCTTCCCTTCCTTCCTTCCTCCCTGCCTCCCTCCTTCCTTCTTTCCTTCCTTCTTTCCTTCCTCCCTGTCTCTCTCCTTCCTTCTTTCCTCCCTCCCTCCCTGCCTCCCTCCCTCCTTCTTTCCTTCCTTCTTTCCTTCTTCCCT